ACAATGTGTTGACCATCGAAGGTAACTGTAGCCCCCTCCCTCCCTGTTCCATACCTGCTAGTATATAGAGGTAGTGAGGGTTATCTGGGGCTTTTTTGCTGATTAGCCAAAGGTGGGATTTCTTAATCCCCAGACAGCCCCATTCAATCTGAGATGGTTTTGACAACTCAGCAAAAACGTCTTCTGCCATCCTACAGGGGTGGGGCTCGAGTTGCCCTGAAGATCATTAAGAATGTGGAAAAGTACAAGGAAGCAGCCCGACTTGAAATCAATGTCCTGGAGAAAATCAACGAGAAGGATCCTGACAACAAGAAGTAAGCAAGCAAAGGAGTATGTGGGAGGTGTGAGAGGCTCCACTCCTATACAGGAACACCTTCCAGGCCTCGGTTAGGCAGGCAGGGGAGTCCTAGACCTTCTCATCCATTCATTTTTTGTTCATCATCTTAAGACTAGTAGAACGGTAGGGGCAGGAAGGGAGGGTCTGATGTGCTGTAATCCATTCCCTTTGTTTCCAGGGCAGTGAGATTGCTCTGCAGTTTGGCCCCAGCCCAGGGTGGCCTCTGGAGAGCTGGGCCCTGGAAATGGCCCTGAGACTGAGAATTAGCATTTTCATCAAAAAATCATTTGAGCTTTCTGTACTGATGAGGCCCCAGGCATTTATACATAATATTTCTGTCCATGGACCTTTTATAAGGTAAATGTAGAATAAGGGCATTAAACAAAGACACAAGAAGATGATCGGTATAATCATGGGCCCACTGGTGGCTGGTGGTCAGTGAATTTCAGGAGTGGGAGCTGGGGTCAGGGTTTAGGAATGACAGTTTGACAATTCAGGGTCCATACTGGAGCCTGGCATTCCACTCTTCAGCCAGTAGAATTGTTTTAACTATTTAAATGATGCAGGAAAATGGTTCGAAGCTTGGCAGGTAGTATCTCTCTTCTTGGGTCCACCAGAAAGGCCATTCCGTTGCCGAACTGAGTTTTGTTGGTGATGCTAGCTGGCGTGTTTTCACACAAACCTGTGGAATCAACAGCTTTGAGGTTCCTCCTTGTTGGAGGGGTGGTGGGCAGATGGGAGCTCATCAGACCTCCCCCTCCCCCATCTCTCTTCTAGCCTCTGTGTGCAGATGTTTGACTGGTTTGACTACCATGGCCACATGTGCATCTCTTTCGAGCTTCTGGGTCTTAGCACCTTCGATTTCCTCAAAGACAACAACTACCTGCCCTACCCCATCCACCAAGTGCGCCACATGGCCTTCCAGCTGTGCCAGGCCGTCAAGTGTGAGTGCGGTGGGCCAAGGTGGACTTGGGGCAGCCCCTCCCTCTGTTGGACCTCTTCTGTGTCCGTTTACACTGGCAGAGCCCCTCAACTGTCAACTTGATTATCTGCAGTTCTCTTACTGTCTCGTTGACAGCTCCCTCACTTGACTCCTTGACCAGTGTCCTCAGCGTCCCTGATGACTCTTATTCCACATGCAATCTAACAGGAGCTGGAAGAGAAAGCTTCTGAAATCAAAGCATTGAATTGCCTTTTTTTTTTTTCATTTCCCTTCCTTGGGAAAGTGTTAAGTCAGGCTGCAAGCACAAAGAGACAAAAAGACTTCCCGAGCTAGAGGTTTATGTTTGTCTGAGCTGAGATGCTCTCCATTTCCAGCAAAGCAGGTGGGAGCAGGGACTAGTGCAACCAAGGGGGCCAGGTGGGGGATCCAGACAAGTACATGGTTCCTCTTGGGTTTTCGTAACTATGCAGGTTTACGGAGTTGAATTCACAGACTGTCAGGCACGTACGTCAAAAGACAAAAATAAAATGCATGGCAGACTCTTTATACACCAGTTGAGAATTACATTTATGTCTTATATTGATAAGCGTAGGGCTTCTTAGACCAGGCATTTCATTTGGATGTAGAGCAGAGAGCAGCCTAGTGATTCTGGACCTGCCTCCTCACCAGCTTTGAGCCAGGTGACCAGACTTGGGGTCACTGGTGCCACTTAGCCCTGGCCACCTGAACCAACCTTGACTTGGCCTTCTCCCCTGCAGTCCTCCATGATAACAAGCTGACACATACGGACCTCAAGCCTGAAAATATTCTGTTTGTGAATTCAGACTATGAGCTCACCTACAATCTAGAGAAGGTAAGAGGGACAGGCGACTGTGCCCCTTTTCCTTTCTCGTAGCCCCTTTCCTCCCTTTTGCTTTTTCCCATATTCTCTCCTGGTCCGGCTCTGAGTAAACCAGAATACCAGAGTAGATTGAAGGGGAGAGGTTGAAGAAGACTTAAATTGGAAGAGAACTTGGAAGGAGGACTTCAGATAACTTTCCAATAGAGTGCAAATGCTTCTAAGATGCTTGGTTTGGACTTTCTTCTCTGTAAGGGAAGCTCAGTTCTCTTGACGTATTTTCGGAAACGCTGTATACCAGTCACTTGGGAAAAGTCCAGATGCACAGGGACTTGCATGCTATGCCATGATCATTCCTTAATCCTTGCCCACTCCTAAATTATCTGCGGGATACGGGGGAAGCTGTAAAGCGGATTCTCCAGTGCATTATGGGAGCAAGCAGGTCAAGGTGCTTTTTTTAAGGCCTGAAAGCACTTTAGAGAATAGTGGTAAGAGTCTTGGTGCAGGGTGGCTGGGGTCCATCGTCTTCCTGCTCTGCTCCTAGAAACGAGATGAACGCAGTGTAAAGAGCACAGCGGTGCGGGTGGTGGACTTCGGCAGTGCCACCTTTGACCATGAACACCACAGTACCATCGTGTCCACTCGCCATTACCGGGCACCAGAGGTCATCCTCGGTGAGCGGGGGCAAGTGGGGGAACAGGGTTGTCCACGTATGTGAGTGTGGGTGGTGGGGAGGGGAGGGCCCCCTAAGCATCATAACACCTTGTCCCTCCTGCTCCCCCCAGAGTTGGGCTGGTCACAGCCTTGTGACGTGTGGAGCATAGGCTGCATCATCTTCGAGTACTATGTTGGCTTCACACTGTTCCAGGTAAGGGGTGGGGTGCCTTCTATAGCCACCCAGCATTCTACCCCGTTTCCTTGTCTGCCGAGGACCCGCCTGCTCACTCCACATTGCTTATCATCCTGGAAGCTGGTCTCCATCAGCCGGTTCTCAGTCCCATGCTCAGTTCTGTTTTTGTTTCCCAGACCCATGACAACAGAGAGCATCTAGCCATGATGGAAAGGATCTTGGGTCCTATCCCTTCCCGGATGATCCGAAAGACAAGGTGAACCTTGAGGGGGTGGGGGAGACTTAAGTCTTTTACTTTTTCTCCACAAGACCAGTCTATTTCACATCATTTTCTTTTTTTCTTTGAACCCCCGCCGCCCAGCTACTCTCACATGGGGGAATAAGGGAAGTATCCCACAACAAAAGGAACCTCCTGACCCCTCAATCTCCCCTTCCTTTCTAGGAAGCAGAAATATTTTTATCGGGGTCGCCTAGATTGGGATGAGAACACATCAGCTGGGCGCTACGTACGAGAAAACTGCAAACCACTGCGGGTGAGCCAGGCAGGGGTGAGGTAGTGCCTACCACCCAAAGGTCATTTCCTTCCTAAGGTGCTTTGCCCCTGGAAGGCACTTCACAAGCAGAGTTAGGAAGGAAGGAAGGGGGAAAACTGAAAGAAGACATCTTTGGTCAGTAGAAGAGAGATAAGAGGGAGTGGTTTTGTGGAGGGAAGGAGGTTAGACAGCCATGTCTTTCTTGAGCCAACCAGAGATCAAAGCAATGTCCTGGATTCTTGAGTCAGACAGAAAAGAATAAACTACCTTTGAAGAGCTCACATTTTAATGAGGAGCTAAAGAAGATTCATGAAATTGACAAAGATATACACATAGAACTTTCAATGAGTATGAAGGAAGTAACTGTGCTAGTGGGAAGGTAGGTCAAACAGTCATACCAGAAATACTGGTGACGGTGTGCTCCTGATAAGGTGGTATTTGTAATAGTATTGGTAATGGCAGACCCTTGGTCCTCCAAGATGGAAAGCTAGGGCCTTGAAGAAAAAGGCAGGACTTGTAAGGCATTGTGCCTCCTCACCTTTTTCCTGCCCTCCACCACCAGCGGTATCTGACCTCAGAGGCCGAGGAACACCACCAGCTCTTCGATCTGATTGAAAGCATGCTAGAGTATGAACCTGCTAAGCGGCTGACCTTGGGTGAAGCCCTTCAGCATCCTTTCTTCGCCCGCCTTCGGGCTGAGCCACCCAACACCAAGTTGTGGGACTCCAGTCGGGATATCAGTCGGTGACGATCAGGCCCTGGGCCCCCCTGCATCTCCTCCAGCAGTGGGTGTCCAGTCCAGGACACTGGTGCTTTTTTATATAAAAGAACAGAGCCGGAGCCCGCCCCTTCCTCCTGGCTCCCTGTATACCTGTGAATATGTGAAATAGTGTAAATATGGAAGAACTTGTACCTGTTGCTCCCCCCCAGCCTTGTACAGAACGCTGTTCCATCCCACACACTTCCTGTCCTCCCCTGCGCCCTCACAGTGGAGTGGGACGGGGGCAGGAGGAGGTAACCAGGTGGCACCTATCCCATGTTTTATAAGGAATTTTGTACAGTCTTTGTGAAATAAAAATGACGTGCTTCATCGGAACCCCACTCCTGAAGTCTGAGGTGTGGGATGCTGGGCTGGAGGGATGGGGAGATTGGCAGCCCTTCCGAGTTCGTGGATGAAGGGAGTCCATCTTACCCTCCCGAGTCCTCCGGAGCCCACCGTCCACAGATCCCCGTTTGGCGGGGGGGGGCGGGGGGTGTTGGTGATGGGTGGGGTGCTTCCTGCGGCTTAGAACCGAGGCACCTGTTCCATCCAGCGAGGTGAGCACTGGGGAAGGTCCGGCTGCGGTGGCCACCGGGAGGGAGCCCAGGCTAGCAGAGGCCCGCGGGAAGAAAGCGCCGGCGCCGGAGGCAGGACTCCCGGCGCACGTCTCTGCAGAGCGGGCCCGGACCCCGCCGCGGGGCCTGCCGGGAGCTGTGGGCGGGGCCTTGCGTCACGTGGGGCGCTTCCGTCTTCGGCGGTAGCCGAGGCGCAGGCGCAGCCCGCCGCCGCTGCAGGGATCCTCGGGACCCTTCCGGCCTTCGCGGCCAATCCGTGCAGAGCCGAGCGGGCGGACCGGGAGGAGCGGAGGGAGCTCCGGGAGCCGCCGCCGCCGCCGCCGCCGCCGCCGCCGCCGCCGCGCAGGGGCGTGGAGGGCAGGGGCGGCCCAGGTCGCAGTTGCAAACATGGCTCAGAGCGGAGACAGCGGAAACCCCTTCGCTGGGCCCGGCGAGCTTGACAACCCCTTTCAGGTGACGCGCGGGCCTTCTTTGGCTAGCTTGGTGGACTCTTCGCGGGTCTGGACGGGCTAACTTTAACTTATCTTCCCATTCCTGACATTTGTTCCGGGGAAGGGCCGCCACGTGGGGGCGACGGTGATTCCAGACCAGTGAGCACCCTGGGGGGCGGGCCCTGCCCCTATAAGGAGCTGGTGCTAGCAGTGTGGGGTGAAGGCTTGGGGGCAGATGTTGGGACAGCGGCGTGGCCTCCGACGTGCAGTGCTTGGAGCCACAGGCATCAGAAGAGGCTCCAGGGAGTTCCCCCAGAGGCACCAGGTGCCAGCTGAGCCCCAGCTCTGCCCACAGGACCCAGCTGTGATCCAGCACCGACCGAGCCCGCAGTATGCCACCCTTGACGTCTACAACCCTTTTGAGACCCGGGAGGTGAGATTCTGGGGAGCACAGGATGGCAAGGAGGGGGAGGGTGTGCCTGTAAGCTCACTCTGTCGGGATACAGGGGACTTTTCTGCATGCAAAGGATCTTAGCCCCCGGAGAGAGGCCAGTCTGCCATGGCTTGCCTAACCCTTCTGCGGACACGAGGGCCAACAATCCCGTTTGAGCTCTAAGCGTCAGTCCTGGGAGGACTTGGAGACTGGCAACGCCTGAACCAGAGCTGTGTCTGGGGAGGCTTCTTTGAAGAAAAGAAAGAATGGGGTTGGTAGGAGTTGAGGAGAAAACAAGTTATGCTTAGGCATGCATTTAGAGGGCAAGGAATGAGGAGGACCGGACCTGTTTGTCCCATGGAATAGAAAATGCTAAGAGCTTTAAAAAGTGAAGGGGGTGAGTTCGGTAGATAAGTGCCTTGAGTCCTGACTAAGGGATAGGATGTGGGGGGTGACGAGGGCTGCCGCAGCTTAGGAAAGAGTTCTCTGACAGAGGTTCAACTCTCTGGGTCCGGGGGGAGGGGGGAGGCTGGGGAATGGGTTCTGGATCTAAAGGTACTCAAGCAGACTCTAGATACCTGCATTGGGAGGGACTAGGTGATCCCTAAAGTCTTTTCCAAAACCAACAGCCCCCACCAGCCTATGAGCCTCCTGCCCCTGCCCCATTGCCTCCACCCTCGGCTCCCTCCTTGCAGTCCTCGAGAAAGCTCAGCCCTACAGAACCCAAAAACTATGGCTCCTACAGTACCCAGGTAAACAGGGTGTGGGGATGGGGGAGCGGGGGCCAGATGCGGGCCCAGGACTCACGTCTCCCTCTGTGCGTACTGGGCAGGCTTCAGCTGCAGCAGCCGCTGCCGAGCTGCTAAAGAAGCAGGAGGAGCTCAACCGGAAGGCGGAGGAATTGGACCGGAGGGAGCGAGAACTGAAGCATGCTGCCCTGGGGGGCACAGCTGGTAAGTGGGTTCTTGGGGTGGGGGGGCATTTGACACTTTTGAAGGAGCAAAAAGAACCTGAGAGCGTGGGCTGTGGAGCCACATTGCTGAGTTTGAATTTGGGTGCTATTATTTATTGTCTATGAGCTCTTAGATAAGTTACTTAATCTTGAGTGTCTCAGTTTCCTTACTTATAAAACAAAGGTAGTATTTGTACCTGTTTCATAGGATTTGTGGCAATTAAATAAGGTTCTCCATACAGAGTGCTTGGCTTAGTGCCTAGAAGTTGTAAATAATAGTAAACACCATCAGCGCTGGTTTTGCTACTCTCCCTCGTCTCCTCGGACCCCGAGTTGGAGGGAGAGAGGACTTGGGGTGGAAGGGAGGGGTGATTCCTTTGCTGGTCTCTGCCTCACGTCTCGGGTCCTCCTACTCTCTCTCTGCCTTCCAGCTCGACAGAACAATTGGCCCCCTCTCCCGTCTTTTTGCCCAGTCCAGCCCTGCTTTTTCCAGGACATCTCCATGGAGATCCCCCAAGAATTTCAGAAGACCGTATCCACCATGTACTACCTCTGGATGTGTGAGTAGTGAGAAGCCTTTTTTGGAGGAAGAATAAAGGTAGTGACCTTACATCTTTCCTGCCCTGGAGCCTACCCACCTAGAACTCAGCATTTCATCTCTGCTCAGCTTTTGAGTTTAAGGCTAGTTTCTCCAGGAATTTTCCTGGGTTACTCCTTTCGTAATATTTACAACTTGTTCTTCCAACCTCTAGAAAACATATGTTCTTGTCGTCTTCCCCTTTCCCTTGTCCTCCTGCATAAACGTTTTTGGAGTCCTTTAAACATCTTTGCAAAGGTGGTCACGTGTGATAGAGATCTGTCTCCGCTGTTGAGGATTTTGTGAAGGCAGAAGCTTCCCTTCCGTACTCTGCCGTCTTTGGTGAGGGTTGTGTGGTGGGCTTCTGTGGGAAGGAGCCGTCGTTGCAGTCCACACTCAGTCTCCTGTCCCTTCGTCCCTTAGGCAGCACGCTGGCTCTTCTCCTGAATTTTCTTGCCTGCCTGGCCAGCTTCTGTGTGGAGACCAGCAATGGCTCGGGCTTTGGACTCTCTATTCTCTGGGTCCTCCTTTTCACTCCCTGCTCCTTTGTGTGCTGGTACCGCCCCATGTATAAGGCTTTCCGGTAAGTTGAGGGGTGGGGGTGGTGGAGAACCTGGGATGGGCCCCACATCTGCTGCTCCTACCCTAATTCTTCTCTCGCTCTCCCCACTTTTCCTGCCCGCAGGAGTGACAGTTCATTCAATTTCTTCATTTTCTTCTTCATTTTCTTCGTCCAGGATGTGCTCTTTGTCCTCCAGGCCATTGGCATCCCAGGTTGGGGGTTCAGGTCCGTGAGGCTACCCGCCACCCCCACCCACCCCCTTCCCTCGTGCCTTCAGACCAAGTCAGCACTAGGTACTGGGGTAGGAGTTGCTCAAAAGAAGGAAAGGTGCTTGTTTAACGAAAGAAACAGGACCTACTTCCCGGATGGAGAGAGCCCAGTCAGAACTCTAGACAGGCCTAGGTTTGGGGGAGGAAAAGTACGTGTGGTCAGTCTGAGAAGGGCTTCCTGGAGAAGGCACCCGTGAGCACTTCTGAAGAGGGGATGGAGACTCCTCAACAGAAAGGTCTGTTTGGGCTGAGGATGTCTTGGGAGGGCCTGGAGAGCTAGGAGCTAATTGCTCGGAAGCTGGAATCAAACTGATGAGAGCGGATATGGTTTGGGATTGTGGTACTTGGGAAGCTTCCAGAGTGACGGGCGCGACCCCTGGTGGGCTGGGTGGGAAGAGGGCCCACTTGCTAACCAGCGGAGAGCGGCCCTTCCTCACTGCCGCGTGCCCTCCTCTCTGGCAGTGGCTGGATCTCCGCTCTGGTGGTGCTGAAGGCCAACAAGGCCGTGGCTGTGCTCATGCTGCTGGTCGCCCTGTTCTTCACCGGCATCGCGGTGCTGGGAATTGTGATGCTCAAGCGGGTGAGGGGCTGTGCGGGAGGCGGGGCCAGAAGAGTGACGTCATGGCCCCCGGGGGCCTGGGTGGGTCGTTCCGGAGGAACCAGGGAGGGCCGCGCCGCTGGGCAGGCGCTCAGCTCCTGGACCTCTGGGGTGGGGGGGAGGGGGTGGGGGGGAGCCACGAAGGAAAAGCCCGAGCCGCAGTGAGTGCGTGATGGGGTTGGGGTGGGGTCACGGCGGCCGGCGCCCGCCGCCCGCTCATAATCTGTCATCTACTTGCAGATCCACTCCCTGTACCGCCGCACCGGGGCCAGCTTTCAGAAGGCCCAGCAAGAATTTGCTGCTGGGGTCTTCTCCAACCCCGCCGTGCGAACCGCCGCCGCCAACGCAGCCGCTGGGGCTGCCGACAATGCCTTCCGAGCCCCGTGACCCCTGACGGGATGCCCCGGCCCTGCAGCCGCGGGGAGCTCACTTAGCCCCCGTCCCTGACGTCTCGGACTCGGTGAGACATCACTACTTGGGGTCTTCTCTCTAGTGCCCCCAGTCCCGCAGCCATGACTGCTGACCCTGACTTAGGGGTGCGGGGAGCCCACTGTGACCCAGGCTCGCTTCCCCCGCCACCCCCCAGTTAGGCCACACTACTACCATCTCTTACAAACCCCACCCAGCTTCTCTCTGCTGTGCCAAGACTGTTGCTTCGGTTATTTAAATAAAAAGAAAGCGAAACTGGAACTCAAATCCCCGTTTCCGGAATTTTTATTGGGAACCGGGCCTTTGGAAGAGAAAAGGGAATGTGGCGGGGGCTGGAGCGGAAGCAGAATGGGAACTCCGAGGGGAGGTCGGGCAGGGCTGCGGAGCCAGCAGGAGCTGCGGAGGGCGGGGCGGCGGAGCTGCGCGGCTCTGCTACTGACGGGGAAGGCGGCGCCGCCTCTGCTGGGGACGCAGCGGGCCCGGGGCCCCAGATGCTGGGCGGGGCTGGGGTCGGGCCCCCCGCCCGGGGAGGCCGGCTGAGGCCCTACTCTGCACCAGGCCCGCGGGCGGACGCCGGCTCCCGGGGTGCCCCGCGCAGCCCCGCCCCGCCCCGCCGCCCGCCCCCTCTGCACCGGGCCCGCAGGCGGACGCCGGCTCCCGGGGTGCCCCGCGCAGCCCCGCCCCGCCCCGCCGCCCGCCCCCTCTGCACCGGGCCCGCAGGCGGACGCCGGCTCCCGGGGTGCACCGCGCAGCCCCGCCCCCGCCCCGCCCCCGGCGCTGGGCGGGACCTGCTGCGGCCCAAGCTGGGGAGCGCCCCGTGTCCGGGGAGAGCGGGGAGCGCCGCCTCGCAGCCGGTGGCGCCCCGGCTTCTCCCCGCCAGAAGGTCTCGACCCCAGGACCCCTCCCCTCTTCCTCCCACCCTCCTCGCCTTTATCCTCCCCGCCCTTCCCGGGGTTCTCGACCGCGGCCGCTCCTCACGCCTGGACCTGCCCTTCTCGGCACCCCTGTTCTCCAGGGAGATGCGATGAGCCGGCGCCCCTGCGTCCTCATCGCCGTCCCGGGCACGGTGCCCGTCCGGTGCCTGCGGTGGGGAAGGAGCCCCCCGCGACCCCTCCGCGACGCCCCTCCCTTGGGCCCCCGCCCAGCTGGAGGCCCTGGGCGATGCCCCAGGGGACCCATCCAGGCGGTGGGCTCTAGAGCAAAGAGGGTGGAGAGGAGGGAGGACGGGGCCTTGGGCGCCTCTGAGATGCTCCCAAGCGCCAGTGGAGGCCGAGCGAGGCGCAGGCAACCGGGCAGCAGGCATGATGCCCTCGCCCACTGACTCCAGCCGCTCGCTGACCAGCCGACCCAGCACCCGGGGCCTTACCCACCTCCGCCTCCACCGACCCTGGCTGCAGGCTCTGCTCATGCTGGGGCTGGCCCAGGTGCTCCTGGGCGTCCTGGTGGTCACCTTCAGCATGGTGGCCTCCTCTGTCACCACCACTGAGAGCATCAGGAGGTCCTGCCCATCTTGGGCTGGATTCTCGGTGAGTTGGGTGCACAGTCCTTGGGTGGGGTAGGCTCCGGGGGCCCCACCCCTCCACACTAGCTGCCAGTCCAAATGCTGGCCTCTCCTCTTCTGGGCAGCTGTCTTCTTACAGGGCTGGGCACACCCTGTGGTGAGGGGCTCACTCATGTGCCTCCCCCTTGCCAGGCTGAGCCTGTGCCCACTCTGTCCCCAGCTGGCGTTCTCCGGGGTGGTTGGCGTTGTGTCTTGGAAGCGGCCATTCACTTTAGTGGTAGGTGTTAGGGTCTGGTGCCCACTGGGAGGCAGGTGCCCAGCACCTGAGGGGATGCCGGCATGTGCCCCCGAGGAGGGAGGGGACTGGCTGTGCAGTTCATGCCAGCCAGGCGTCGGTGTGTGTGAAGGGGGTGCCCCATCCGTGGTAGAGGGTACCCCTGAGGGCCCCCGCCCTGAGTGTGCACCTGCTTCCCCCAGATCTCCTTCTTCTCACTGCTTTCGGTGCTCTGTGTCATGCTCAGCATGGCTGGCTCTGTTCTCTCCTGTAAGAATGCTCAGCTGGCCCAGGACTTCCAAGACTGCTCCATGGTGAGACTGAGGAGGGAGGGCCAGAAAGAGCTGCTGGGCGGAGGGGTGCAGGACGCTGGGTTTGTCCTGACTGCGCCCTCCCCTCTGCCACTCAGGAAGGAAAGGTCTGTGTGTGCTGCCCCTCCATCCCCCTACTCCGGCCCTGTCCAGAGTCAGGGCAGGAACTCAAAGTGGCCCCTAACTCCACCTGTGACGAAGCCCGAGGAGCCCTCAAGGTGAGCGTGCACTCCCCACCTCAGCCATTCCTTTCTCCTCCACCGTCTCCCTGGTTTTCACCTTTGCCTCCCCTTCTGGAGTCCTCACAGGTCCAGAACTTGTGGGGTTCACCCCTCCCCCGCCCCGCTCACATCCCTCTTCCTCTCTTGCTTTCAGAACCTGCTGTTCAGCGTCTGTGGGCTCACCGTTTGTGCCGCCACCGTCTGCACCGTCTCTGCAATCGTCTGCTGCGTCCAGATCTTCTCCCTGGGTCTCGTGCACACGGTGAGAGGCGGGCCAGGGTCAAAGCCAAGCAAGTGTGACGCGGGGCAGGGGTGTGTGTGCTGGGACTGGGCTTGAGGGGATGGTGGCTGCGGTGCTGGCTTCTGAGCCTCAGGGGCTGTGGGGCATTTATTAGGCACATCTAGTGTCGGGATGTTCAGGGGGGTTCACAGAAGGATGAGGAGGGGAGGGCAGGGAGCGAGAGAAATATGTGATGCTAGTCAGCCCGGAGAGCGGACATTAAATGGGACTACAAGTTAGGTGAAGTCCAGAAGATCCTAGATGGCGACGAGGGTAAAGGGTTGATGTTCTAGCGGGGGCAGAGAACAGGTGGCAATTCTGGATGTAGGTGGGGCCATAAGTGGAGGACTTTCTGGATGACTGGGGCAGAGAGAGAAGAGGAGCTGGTTCTGGCTGAGGGAGGAGGCAGGACCAGGAGAATGTGGAGGAGTCTGGGAGCCTAGGAGCTGCATTCCCAGAAACCAGGCATGCCGATCTGCTTGCTCCCCAGGAGCTGGCCCCTGAGCGCTCAATCTCAGGCCCCTTGGGGCCTCTGGGCTGTACGTCGTCACCCCCAGCTCCTCTCCTACACACCATGCTGGACTTGGAGGAATTCATACCTCCGGTGCCCCCTCCGCCCTACTATCCCCCAGAGTACACCTGCAGCTCAGAAACAGATGCACAGAGGTGAGGCCTGGCGGAGTCCTGCTGGGGAAACGGAGCAGGGGGCCAGGGCTGCAGCCTGGATTGCTGGGGAGGGAGCTCTGTGGAGTAGGAGTGCTCTTCCAGGCTCTTTCCTCTCCCTCATCCTGCCAGCATCACCTACAATGGCTCCATGGACAGCCCGGTGCCCTTGTACCCTACGGATTGCCCCCCTTCTTATGAGGCCGTCATGGGGCTACGAGGAGACAGCCAGGTGAGAGCAGGGCTCGGTGTGGCCTGGGGAGCTGGTGAGAAAGCCTGAAAAGCTGAGGGAGCTGCTGTCACTGGATAAAGAAAACAGTAGTCCTCATGGTCTTTGTGGCACCAGCACCTCCACGGCCATCTGGTCTTCCCTAGAGCCCGGGGGGGTAGCGGTGGGGGGAACTATTATTTCTATTTTACAGATGTAGAAACTGAGGCCCACATAATTGACCTGGACAGGGTGGCAAAGCCAGACTGAGAGCTAGGTCTTCTGAGCTCTGTCCAGCACACAGCACATGGGGTGGCCACATTAGCCTGTCGGGCTGGCCCCCTGACACTCCTGTTTTCTGCAGGCCACTCTCTTTGATCCTCAGCTTCACGATGGCTCCTGCATCTGCGAGCGGGTGACCTCCACTGTAGACGGTGAGCAAAAAGCGGGGAGGGGGGCAAGGGCTGGGCTGCCTGTGAGAGCAGAGCTGGGTGGGGCGCTGGACTTGACCTGCCTCCTCTGAGGTCGCTCTGGAGGCAGCGTGGCTGCTGAGGGGCTTTGAAAAGACTGGCGCCCCCCCCACGCCCTCCCTGCCACCCCCAGTGTCCATGGACAGCGGGTCTCTGGCGCTGTCGGCCATCGGTGACCTCCCTGGGGGCTCGAGCCCGTCGGAGGACTCGTGCCTGCTGGAGCTGCAGGGCTCCGTGCGCTCCGTTGACTACGTGCTCTTCCGCTCCATTCAGCGCAGCCGCGCCGGCTACTGCCTCAGCCTGGACTGCGGTCTGCGCGGCCCCTTTGAGGACAGCCCCCTGCCGCGGCGACCCCCGAGGGCCGCCCGCTCCTATTCCTGCTCGGCCCCCGAGGCCCCACCCCCACTGGGGGCCCCCACGGCCGCCCGCAGCTGCCACCGGCTGGAGGGCTGGCCGCCCTGGGTGGGACCCTGCTTCCCCGAGCTGAGGCGGCGGGTCCCCCGGGGAGGCAGCCGGGGAGGCGGCCGGTCCGCTGCGGCCCCCCCCGCCCGCGCCCCCACTCGCCGCTTCAGCGACAGCTCAGGTTCCCTCACCCCCCCGGGGCACCGGCCTCCTCATCCGGCTCCCCGACCACCGCTGCAGCTGCCGCGGTCCCACAGTGACCCAGGCATCACCACTTCCAGCGACACCGGTGAGCATCCCCCCCACAAGGTTCAGGAGCACACAGGCAGGGGAGTTAAGAGGGCCAGGGGTGCCCGCCAGGATTTAGGACACCGTGGAGGTCCCCAAGGAGGGAGAAGGGGTGAGTTCACTCCTGCAGGAGATACTTCTGAGTACTCACCTCCTAAAAACACACCATCAGCAGCTGAATGGCTAAAACCAAATTCCAGAGCTCCCACCTGGAGCTAGTTACCCACCTTCTCCAAGCCTCGGCTTCCCGCCTGTTCATGGGGTGCAGTAGCGGCCCCTCAGCCCAGGTGCTCGAGTTATTGAGCAATGAGGTGATGTGATGGAATCTTAGCACTGGCCTTGTGTGCCAGGTACTGGGGGGACTGGGGGAGATGCAGCCACCAACCAGACCGCCTTAGTCCCTGTCTAGCTGGGCTGTACCATCGGGTTTCTGGCAGACATGGGCAGAGGGGATGCCCGCTTGGTTGAGGGTGGAGTGTGGGGGCTGGGAAAGCTGCTCTGGGCTTGAGTCTCTCCCGGAGGGCGTGTCCACTGGGCCCTTCCAGTCCCTCCCTCTCCTCCCCAGCTGACTTCAGGGACCTTTATACCAAAGTGCTCGAGGAAGAAGCTGCTTCCGTTTCCTCTGCAGATACAGGTCAGGCGTGTGGTT